GTTATATTTGATTAGAAATAAAGATGATGCTTTTAATGCTTTTATTGCTTATAAAATTGAGGTTGAAAATCAACTTAGTAGTAAAATCAAGAGAATTAGATCTGATAGAGGTGGAGAATATTTATCTTTAAATAATTTTTGGGAAAAGAATGAAATTATTCATGAAGTAACTCCGCCTTATTCGTCTCAGTCAAATGGAGTAGCTGAAAGGAAAAACAGAACATCGAAAGAAATGATGAACTCTATGTTAGTTAGTTCTAATGCTCCTGATAATTTATGGGGTGAAGCTATTTTATCTGCATGTCATTTAAGAAATAGAATACCACATAGAAGAACTGGCAAAACTCCGTATGAATTGCGGAGGGGTCATAAATCTAACTTGAAATATTTAAAAGTGTGAAGGTGCCTTGCTAAGGTTCTTTTGCCTGAACCTAAAAAGAGAAAAATAGGTTCTAAAACTGTTGATTGCATGCTTATTGGATATGCTGAACATAGTGCTGCATATAGATTTCTTGTTTTAAAAAGTGATGTGCTTGATTGCAATACTATAATTGAAGCAAAAAAAGCTGAGTTCTTTGAATATATTTATCCGTTGTCTGATAAAATTTCTCATACGCCTGTTGAAACAAATAGTGAAATTACCTCTAATAAGGAACTGAAAAGGAGCAAAAGGCCTATGAAAGAATATTTTTTTTTACGGAAATGATTTTCAAACTTTTCTTGTCGATATTGAACCATCAAATTATTTTGAAGCTATATCTTCTTCAGATGCTAAATATTGGAAAGAGGCAATAAAAGTTGAAATCGATTCTATTTTGAAAAATAATACATGAATTTTAACTAATTTACCTCCTGGTGCAAAGCCTATTGGTTGTGAATGGATTTTCAAAAGAAAATTTAATCCTGATAGATCTTTAGGTAAATATAAAGCTCGTTTAGTAGCAAAAGGATTTTCTCAAAAACAAAATATTGATTATTTTGATACATTTGCACCAGTGACTAGAATTTCTTCTATTCGAGTTTTAATTGCCTTAGCTTCAATCCATAAGCTTTTTATCCACCAAATGGATGTCAAAAGTGCTTTTCTAAATGGTGATTTAGAGGAAGAAATTTACATGGTTCAACCTGAAAGCTTTGTCATTCCTAGACAAGAAAATAAAGTTTATAAATTAGTTAAATCTCTTTATGGCCTTTAACAAGCTCCTAAGCAGTGGTATGAGAAATTTGAACAAGTCTTACTGAGAGACGGTTTTTCTTCAGTTGAGGTGGATAAATGTGTTTATACTAAAGTGGTAGACAATGATTATGTGATAATATGTCTATATGTTGATGGCATGCTTATATTTGGTACAAATTTAAATATTGTGCAAAGTACAAAATTATTTCTGTTTGCTAATTTTAATATGAAAGATCTAGGTGAAGTAAATATGATACTGGGAGTTAAAGTTATGTTGTCACAAGAACATTATGTTGAGTGACTTCTTAAGAAGGTTGAATATTTTAATGTCACGCCAGTAAGCACTCCTTTTGATGCTAACTCTCAGTTGAAAAAGAATAATGGTGACCCAGTTGCTCAGTCTAAATATCTCATATTATTGGGAGTTTGATGCATTTAATGAATTTTACAAGGCCTGATATAGCCTATGTTGCGTGTAGACTGAGTAGATATACTCATAATCCCAACAACGAGCATTGATCTGCATTAGCTAGACTAATGAAATATTTGAGAGGAACCATGAATTATGGTATCCTATATAGTGGATTTCCTTCTATTTTAGAAGGGTACAGTGATGCAAACTGGATCTCTTATTCAGATGAGACAAAATCCACTAGTGTTTATGTATTCACCCTTGGTGGTGGTGCAATATCGTGGAAATCAGCTAAACAGACGATCATTGCTAGATCGACTATGGAATCAGAGTTTATAGCTCTGGAGTTAGATGGTTCTGAGGCTGAGTGGCTACGGGCGAAGGGTCCAAAGGACACGTAGCTGGGGGCGAGTTAAAAATAGAATTGTTCCATTTTCCTTCTTGTTCATCAATCGGAAATCAAGACAAACCGGGCACTACGGTAAGACGTGAAAACACCCGATCCCATTCCGACCTCGATATGTGGAATCGCCTTGCGCCATATGTACTGAGATTGTTCGGGAGACATGGTCCAAGCCCGGTGAAAAAAAGCATAAGAAGAGTCCGATAATGGCCGTTCTTAGCTAATATCCCTTTAATAAAGGACGTATTGCCTCTTGTGTCTATACATTATGATTGCCAAGCGGAAATAGCTATAGCAAAGAATAAATCTTATAATTGTAAAAGTAGACATATGAAATTGAGACATGATGTCATAAAGCAGCTGCTGAGGAACGGAATTTCCATTGATTATGTGAAGTCAGAAGTTAATTTGGCTGATCCTCTGACTAAACCTGTGGGAAGAAAATTAATTCTTCAAACCTCAAAAGAGATGGGGTTAAGGCCGACATGTTATCAATAGAGATGGTAACCCGACCTATGTGATTGGAGATCCTATGAAGTAGGTTTATATGGGTAATAACAAGTTGATATTGGTACTGAAGCACTAAAAGAGAGTGCTTGACTGCTACTAATTGAGAGGATGAGTTAACTCTTAATGAAATTCATATTCCATATGGATGGTGTATTTAAAAGCAGTATACACTTGATGAATTCATCTATATGAGAGTGTAGTGGGGCCACTCCTATGAGATTTTGGCCTAGCCTCTAGAGCTCTCATGAATAACCAGGCACGCGCATGGCCTAGTGGCGCAAAATCGCGTTGAACAACAAAATTGTGAGGGTCGAAATGTGATTGATAAAATCTCTGGCTCATAATAAGAATTATTTGGTTCATAGAAATATTATATTTCACCAGTAATTCTATGAGTTAAGTTTTATTGATCTAAATTTGGTTCATAGTCCAAAAGACACCAAACCTATTACATTTAGATTATACAAATCCAGCATGTTTTACTTTTATTCCTGATGTTCGGCTTAATGTATGCATATTTTGATGTATATAGCCTCACATTTTGATCATATCTCGTAGATTTCGGATGTATAATATAATGATTTGTGCTAATTCATGGTATTTCTATGTGTAGAAATCATTCGAATGTGATTTGGGACGAAAGTGCGCGAATTGGAGCGAAAATCGGACGAAAAGGCAAAAGTGCGAATTTGAGGGCCACAGGCAGCGTGGGGCGCTACCTGTGACGCTCAAAACAGAATGCTGAAAAGTTGAGCGCTAGGGCCAGCGCCCCAAGCTGCCCTGGATGTTCAAAATGTGAACATGTCCTATTTCGACTGGGACTCGGTTGTCCCCAACTCATAAAAGCCAACCTAAACCTATTTTGGAGAGGGAGAACGTTTTTAAGAGTAACTTTTGATCAAGGGAGAGCACAGAGCCGCCGTGGAGGCCGGGTTTCATCTTTTCTTAAACCAAACTTAGTAATTTTTATATTTATTCGTATGATTTGTTGTTTCGCTACCATGTCTATGTGGAGCTAAACTTCACGTTCTAGGGTTATGGTTCTTTCATGATTATTGTTATTCGGATATTGATTTTGCTTTCTTGATTTATCATATTGGTTTATTTATTCAATCTTGCGCTAAATTATTTAATTGATTGATCACCAATTAAATACTATCTATGAATCTAGAGTTGAACTTGAAAGTGGAAATTCTAGATTGCACATAGGATTGAGTAGAGCAAGTTCTTGAACCTAGGCATCGGGGAACGGATTCGCGGTTAGGATAGACATATACCTAATTGTCTTGCTTGGTTGATTTTTAGGAATTATAAATGCGTTCTTGTTAGTTCTAACTCCATAGACATATAGGAACTAGGTTAGCTTGAATAGGCGAGTAAGAATTTGACAGATTCTTATGAGCAATATTAACCCTGTTAACTAATAAACTAGATAAATTAGTTAGCCAATTCAATTGAAGAATACAATAGAAATGTTAAATAGCCCATAACCCTAGATCGTTTTCATTACATTGATAACATACAAAAATTTCTCTTCCTTTGTTCAGAGTTTATTATTTATTTTATTTTTATTTTAATTAGTTTAGAGTCAAATACCCAAAAATTCTTTTAAAAAGTGTGGGGGATTGTCAGCCAAATTGTATTAGTATTGTAAAAGAATTTATATAATTAGCATTTAACAAATGTCTTTGCATGAAAGGTAAAAGACAAGTGGTCTTACTACCAAAATGTGGCAGCCAACCTTTAAGCCTTTCGATAAATGGCACATTCCTTTGGAGAAGTGGAAAATAAAGATAGCCACGTTGCAATCATTCACAAGGATAGAAATATGCACTTATGGCTATAAATAACCTTCATTAGCCATTCATTATTATTATCAGAAATCCTTCTTATACGTCTCTCTTCTTCCTTCTAATTCCTTTTCTATAATATTTAATTAGCATTACACATTAGTTGTTCTTCCTTTTTTCCTGCTAGCTGGATTTGAATTGGTTTCGCCCGAAGCATCAGACCAATGATCACCCACGACTTCTGTTTATTTAATTTTGTTGATTTTTTTATCCTCTAAATAAATAGAGGTAGGCTTGTTTAATCCTGGGGAAATATTTCACATTGCTTAAATAGTTTCTTAAGATAGTACCCAGCATGACTCATGCCAATTCGTGTATCTGCTAACAAATAATATTATTCAGTATTATTATTGTTGTTATTTTCCCGTGTCATTTCTCTACAGTTATAATGTTAGGTTAGAAGCTTGTTAGCTATGGCAGAAATGGCAAAAGAAAACCCTAAAAGGGTTGAGAGAAGAAGAGAGAGACAAGTGAGTCGGTCAAAATGTAATTGACCAAAACTAATTTTACTATTGTGTAGAGGCTACTTATATTTACAGGTGTAAATGGATAAAAACAATTATTAAAATATTTACATGTCTAAACTATAATAGATGAGGCTAAGTTATAAAAGGGCCTTCTTCTTTCCCTTATCTGATTGGGCCTGTGTCAATTGGGCTTGAGATGTATCTGGGCTAACACACCCCTCAAACTTGAGGGTGAAAACACACCAAGCTTGCAAAGTAAACCATGATGAACTTGACCAGGAAGAGCCTTGGTCATGATGTCTGCCAACTGGTTGGTGCTGGAGATAAAATGCAAAGAAATCAAACCAGTCTGCAAGCAAGCGCACACATAATGACAGTCAATCTCAATATGTTTGGCGCGCTCGTGAAAGACTGGGTTCTTGGCAATATGAAGAGCTGCATGTTTATCACAATAGATTGGAACTGGACCGAAAATGGACAAACCATGGTCATGCAGCAGTCTGAGCAACCATCAGCTAAAACTTTGCGAAGTGCTCTGTATTCAGCTTCAGTTGAAGACAAGGAGATAGTGGGCTGCTTCTTGCTTTTCCAAGAAATGGGGCTGCCACCAAGAGTAATGTAATAACCAGTGATAGATTTGCGAGAAATGGCACATGCAGCCCAATCAGAGTCAAAGTAGGATGTGAGAGACAAATCAGATGAGCTGGAGAGGAGAACCATTTTAGCTGGTTCATTAAGCAAATACATGAGAACATGTAAGGCTGCCAACATATGTGGCACTTGAGGTTTTTGAAGAAACTGACTTAAATGTTGAACTGAGAAGGAGATATAAGTCCTAGTAAGTTACAAAAAATTAAGCTTCTCAATCAATCTCCTATACAAGCTAGGATCAGAAACATGCTCCCCCATGTCTAATACCAGCTTGACAAAAGGGTCCAAACGGGTCATGACAAGAGAAAAATGTTGACAATTAAATTCATACAAGAGGGTAGAAGTGTACTTGTATTGGCTTATCACATAACCTTGAGGAAATAGAGATATTTCTAAACCAAGAAAGTAGTGAACTGAGCCCAGGTCTTTGATTTTGAATTGAGCATCCAAGAAGGACTTCAAAGAGTTCATCTCAACAACATCATTACCAGCTAGCAATATGCCATCAACATATCCAGCCACGACAATGAGAGAATTAAAGGAGACCTTGATAAATAAAGAATAATCATTCATGCTGGAAATGTAGCCTCTGGATAGCAAAGCTTCAGACAGTTTTAAAAACCACTGTCAGAAGCTTGCCTAAGGCCATAGAGGGACTTCTTGAGTCTGCAAACCAGGAGAGAAGAAGAAGAGGGGGCATACACATCAAGACCAGGTGGAACCTTCATATAAACATCTTCATGGCGATCCCCAAGAAGGAAGGTATTGTTCACATCAAGTTGAAAAATAGTCCAACCCCACTTAGCAGCTAAAGTGAGTAAGCACTTGATGGTGGTTAACTTGACAACAGGGGAAGGAGAAGGAAGTGAGGCAACAGGAGAGTCTTGGGATGTAGAAACAACAGGAGTGGGAGAAGGTGAAGGAAAGGAGGTTGTAGAATCCACAAAATTTGATGTGAAATAAGAGGGAAAGACAGAAGGATGATCAGATTTATAGGGAAAGATGTGTTTATGAAAAACCACATCCTTAGAAAAGAAAATGGAATGAGTAGTGAGATTAAGAAGTTTGTAACCCTTTTTGCCAAAGGGTACCCCAAGAATATAGAAGGAATAGCTCTTGCTTGGAATTTATCTCTGCCAAACTTAGGTGAAGTAGCAAAGCATATACATCCAAAGGATTTCAGGTGATCATAAAGTGGAGGGAGGCCATGAAGTTTCTCATAAGGGGAAAGACTCTTCAAAACAATAGAAGGAAGTCTATTTATGAGGTAAGTGGAAGATAGAACACAGTCACCCCAATATTTAAGGGGAAGGTTAGACTGAAAAAGAAGAGCCCTGGATATTTCTAATAAGTGTTTGTGTTTCCTTTCAACCACCCTATTTTGCTGAGGGGAGTGTAGGATAGTGGTCTGATGGAGAATGCCTTGGCTTGAGAAGAACTTGGTGGCTTCAGAACTGCCACCAAATTCAAAGGCATTGTCAGACCTGAAGGTTTGGACAGCTGATTTAAAATGAACTTTGATCATGACAGTAAAATCTTTAAGGACAGAAAGAGCATTGATCTTGCAAGAAAGAAGGTGAGTCCATGTGGCTCTAGTATAATCATTAATCAAAGTTGGAAAATATCTGAAGCCACTATAAGTCCTAGTGTTGTATGGACCCAAAATGTCAATATGTACTAATTGAAAAGGAGCAGAAGAGTGTATAACACTTTCAGGAAAAGGTAAATCTCTGTTGTCTTGCTAGTAGACAAACATGGCATATAAAACTTTGCTTGGAAGATACTTTATCAGACAAGAACGGAATATGATAAGGCATGTGTCCTAATCTTTGATGCCAAAACATGTCCAATTTATTAAGGCAATGCGACTGATTACAATCAAGAGTAGCATTAACATGTGTAACAACATGGCTGGACTTATCAGATACAGTTGAAATAGAATTTGGTAAAGTACTACAAGAAGAAACATTCATAGAACTAGATGGAACAAGGAAGAGGTCAGCATCTGGATGGAGATAGTACAACCTGCTTGCAGGTTTTCCAATTTCCAGTGGCCTCTTCAGAGAAGGGCCCTGTAAAGAACAAATTGTTTTGCTAAAAAGTGCTGAACAATCTAGCTGACAGATAAGCTGATGAACAAATATTAAATTAAAGTGAAAAGATGGCACAAGAAGAATATGAAGTAAAATTATATCATGTCTAAGATACAAAGATCCAGTTGATATAACTTTAGCTTTATATCCATTAGGTAAGTGACAAGAAAAAGCTTGATTAATGGTTGAACATTAAAAAGAAGATGTTTGTGTGGAGTCATGTGATTAGTAGCACCTGTATCTAAGATCCAAGGATTGACACCTAATTGAGAGGATGCACACACATGAGAACCCTCAAAATCTACAGCATACTAACTGAACAAACCTGCAAAGTGTGCAAAAGCATATTGATCTCCATCGGAGGCATCAGGTGTGGAAGTATTAGACATCTGAGCTTGTTAGAACAAGGTCATCAGTTGTTACTGCTCCTTGGTGAATCCATGGGCTGAAGTATCAGCATGCTGAGAAGTGGAAGTGACAGCAGTGGTGGGTGGACTTTCAGTCTGGACACAAGAAGCATACTTCTGACTCCTGGTGAATTTGAAATCAGCAGGGAACCCATGAAGTCTGTATTACTTGTCTACAGTGTGTCTAGGCTTCTTTCAGTACTTGCAAGAGATATTTGGAGCAGTTTTCCTGGCCTCAAAATTCACCTTTTGACTGAAGTTCCTATTTGTAGTAGAAGTGCCAGGAGACACCAAGAAAGAGGTGGCATCACCAGAGAAGTTAGGAGTATCAGAATGAGCTTATGTTTGACTCTCATCTTGCTGCAGTAGGCTATAAGCTTTGCTGATTGGTGGAAGAGGATTCATCAACATAATGGCACTCTTAATAGTTGTGTAGGACTCATTGAGATCATTAAGAAATTAAAACAACTGTTGATCCTCTATGAACTTAGGCATTGCAACACATGAACAAGTAGGACCTACATATGATGAATTCAGCTCATCCCACAAACTCCTCATTTTGGTGAAGTAAGAAGCTATATTGGAAGAGCCTTGAGTAGTAGAGCTGATCTCCCTTTGTATTTGGATGTATTTAGACCAATTTGACTGACCAAACATTTCATTTATATCTTTCCAGACTTCCTTAGCAGTTTTAAAACACATCACACTAACAACTATTTCTCTAGATACCGAATTAGTTATCAGACTTTAACCATCTCATTGCACCTTTCCCAATATGGATAATAAGGAGAGTCAGGAGTGGGTTGGTTGACTCTGCCATCCAATAGACTGAGCTTGTTCTTTGTAGAGAGGCAAGTAAGCATACTATTACGCCATAATACAAACCCACAACCACTGAATGGTACATATACCAGTTGACTCCCGGGATTATCCGAGGGATGAATATAGAAGGGATGTGAGGTATCCAAGGAAAACGAAGCAAAACCTTTGGAAGGTGAAGTAGAGTTAACATCATCTATAACACTATCCATTTTCAGCAGTAACTAAAGCTAACACTAAGAAACTACAACAGTATGTTGAAGTAATCAAAGATAGATCCAAATCAAGTACATGCAATAAACATCAACAATGAAAAATAACAAGGCTTGTGATTAGGAGTAACAACAATACCGACCTTCTTTTGAAAATCCGAAGAAGTAAGGTCTTGTACAACCATGAACCCTAGGTAGAGAAATACAGCAGAAACTCTCGAATAACTTAAAGATTATTGGCGATTCAAGCACGAAAAGTCGAATAAACGTGGAGATTGAAAGAATCCCCAAATTTCACGAACGTACTCTGAACGTCGACGATCAGAATCAATCCATGACGATTTCAAACAAGGTTACCATTGGAAGAAAGCTTGCGACGAGAAGAATCTATATTCCTGCTCTGATTTTGTGTTAGGTTAGAAGCTTGTTAGCTATGGCGGAAATAGTAGAAGAAAACCCTAGAAGGGTTGAGAGAAGAAGAGAGAGATGAGTGAGTCGGTCAAAATGTAATTGACCAAAACTAATTTTATTATTGTGTAGAGGCTATTTATATTTATGGGTGTAAAGGGAGAAAAACAATTGTAAATATATTTACATGTTTAACTATAACAGATGTGGCTAAGAGTTGTAAAAGGGCCTTCTTCTTTCCCTTATCCGATTGGGCCTGAGATGTATCTGGGCTAACATATAATAAATTAATTTACTTTATTTTCTGCATTGCCAAATTAAATTTATTGTCTATACTCACGTGTTATCATAAAACATTTTATATTTATAGCGTGAAAAGTTATAACACTATAACAACAAACAGAAATCTCATTATCAACAAATTTGGAATCCTCAGAGAGGAATGAGATTTGTTTTTCACCCTGAATAGAGAATGGATAGCCGACCCTTAGCAGGGGCGGATGTAGTCCTATAGCAATATGATCAATTAAACTTATATTTTTCGACGTATAGTACAAATTTATGTGAAAAAACTCACTGATATCGAAATAAATTGTAGATATGGAATCATGATAATAGGCTATATTCATGTAGTTCAGTGACCATTTACGCCCCAACTTAGCTATGCTTTGTTGTTATATGAAGGCTAAATGACAAAAAATGGCTCTAATTATGAATTTTGTGCTTTGCAGGCAAGTCTTGATTATGAGGACATTGAACAGTGTTTGGAGCTAATTTGGAGCAAGGAAAGCCAATCGGAGGTGAATGCGCTTGAAAGAAGAAGGAAAAAAATAGAAAACAACTGAACTTCATGAGCGCGGCCAAGCGCGGGCGCGCTCCAGCCGCGCTCGTCAGGCAGAATAAAACGTGATATGCGCGGCCACGCTCGTCACCTCGAGGAAAATTATTTTCAGGGGTAATTTCGTAACTTCGGGGGCAACTCTCCTTAACGTATAAGAAGCCCAGGTCGCCCAAAGAGGAGGTATCAAGGTTTTTGAAGGATTATCGAAGGCAAGAAGAGGCAAGAGGCAAGGCAGAAGATTTGGCATAGAGTTTTACCTTTCTTCCTCTTGTTTTGATCATTAATGATG